GTTCTTGATATGGGAGCTTATTAGATTATTAATTTGGGATTCTTTTTCTTTTCTAATGTATTCCTTTAGATTTTTAAAATTTTATTTAAATTCAATTTGCCCACATAGAGTATAACACCCAGTGCTCATCTCATCATGTCCCCTTCTTTTTTTTTTGTTTCTTGTTTTTTTTTGTTTTTGTTATCATGTCCCTTTCTTAATGCTCATGCAATGTCAAAAAGTGCTAAAGCATTGCACTGCTTTAGCTGTGTCCCATGAATTTTGATATTTTATATTTTCATCCAACTTAATGCAATTTTCTAATTTCCCTTAAGGTTTCCTCTCTGACCCACAGTTTATTTAGAAAAGTGTTATTGAGGGACATCTGGGTGGCTCAGCATTTGAGTGTCTGTCTGCCTTTGGTTCAGGGCGTGATCCCAGAGTACCGGGATCTAGTCCCACATTGGGCTCCCTGCATGGAACCTGCTTCTCCCTCTGCCTGTGTCTCTGCCTCTCTCTCCCTCTACCTGTGTCTCTCATGAATAAATAAATAAATCTTTTTTTTTAAATAAATAAATCTTTAAAAAAAAGTGTTGTTTAGTTTCTAAGTATTTGGAGATTTTCCTGTTTTATCAATTTCTCGTTTGATTCCACTGCAGTCAGAGAATATCTTCCACATGATTTCAATTCTTTAAAATATTTTGAGGGGGCAGCCCCGGTGGCTCAGTGGTTTAGCGCCGCCTTCAGCCCAGGGCATGATCCTGGAGACCTGGAGTCCCACGTTGGGCTTGCTGCCTGGAGCCTGCTTCTCCCTCTGCCTCTCTCTCTTTTAACTCTCTCTCTAACTCTGTGTGTGTGTGTGTGTGTGTGTGTGTCTCTGTGTGTGTCTCTCATGATTAAATAAATAAAATCTTTTTAAAAATAAAATAAAATATTTTGAGATTTATTTTATGGCCCTGCATTTGGTATATCTCATTATATGCTCCATGAATATTTGGAAAGAATGTGTTTTCTGCTGCAGTTGTGTCAAATGTTCTATAAAAGTCAATTAGATCCTGTTGGTTGCTGAGTTCTATATTCTCTAAAGATGATAAACTTGGAGAGGTATGGACCTGGAAACAGATTGGCTGAAAATTTGTGCACAAACTGGTTGTTCTCTCCTTTTACTTTTCCTTTCTTATATAATCAGGTACACTGCACAGAGGGTTTGATCTCTAATCAATAAACAGACCCAGGAAGGATGTGCAACTGCACAAATGAAGACTGTATTGAGGCACAGGGAGTCTGAGTGAAAAACCATACTCAGAACTGTGGGCCTCTCAGGACCTTCCCTATCCTAGTCCCAAATACCAGTAACTCAGGAGACTGGACTTATTTTCTGCTCTAAACTAAAAAGCAGAGAAGAGAACTCTCTGGCAGTCTTCCAGTGAAAAGGCTGGCTCTAATGTCTGGCAGTTGAGAAATTTTACTTCTTCACTGGAGGCAAGAATTAACACACATTTCAGGAAAGTATCCCATGTAAAAGGAAGAAAACAATTCAAGCTTTTTTGAAAAGAAATTTGATTTGGACATAAAAGACAAAAATGGACAAGAAAACTTTGAACAACTTTAATCACTCTGAGAGATCGAAAATTATATTGCATCCACAAATAAGAACAGAAAGCTGTGAAGAAGGAAAAATTAAGCATAACTCAGAATAGTCCTTCCAGCAAATACAAATTCCAGGAATAAAAAACCTGAAATACAGAAGAGTGCCAAAAGCCAAAAAATATAAGAAAAATTCTCAGATCTGGAGCCTACAGACTAAAAATCTCACCTATATCTAGCATAAAAAATGTTTAAATATCCATGCCATGAAGTCATGAAATTTCAGTACATTAGGGATATAAATAGCATTAAGTATTTGAATGGGAGACATAAGATTACACACAAAGGAACAAAAAACAATTGGTATTAGATTTGACAACATAAGCTACCAGAAAACTTGAAAGAGATGTTTCCAAATTTTGAATACCAGTAAAGTGTGAGAGTAGAATAAAGACATTTTCAAACATTAAAGAACTAAGAAACTTAACACATGCATCTAAAGGAAGATATTGGAAATAGGAGTTTAATGAAAAATTAACTTAATTCCGGGGAACAGTAATCCAATTCAGGAAAACAATGAAAGTAAGTTTCAGGACAACTGTAGGATCCAATTGGAGGCCCAGATGGGTGGACTGAGAGATTTTTAAATCTTTATTTAAATTAAATTTGCCAACATAGAGTATAACACCCAGTGCTCATCTCATCATGTCGCCTTTTTTTTTTAAGGTTTAATTTATTCATGAGAGAGAGAGAGAGAGAGAGAGAGAGAGAGGCAGGCAGAGACACAGGCAGAGGGAGAAGCAGGCTCCATGCAGGGAGCCCAATGTGGGACTTGAACCCCGGTCCCCAGGATCAGGCCCTGCGCTAAACCGCTGAGCCACCTGGGCTGCCCTCAGGTCCCCTTCTTTTTTTTTTTTTTAATTTTTATTTATTTATGATAGTCACAGAGAGAGAGAGAGAGGCAGAGACACAGCAGAGGGAGAAGCAGGCTCCATGCACGGAGCCTGACGTGAGATCGATCCCGTCCCCAGGATCCGCGCCTGGCAAAGGCAGCTCAAAAACCACTGAGCCACCCAGGGATCCCCGGTCCCCTTCTTTAATGCTCAACATCCCATTACCCATCCCCCACAAAAATAACACCCTCCCTTCTTAATCTTTTTTTTTCCCAATTAGGAGTCTCGAATGGTTTTGTCTTCCTCTAATTTTCAACCGCTCAGTTCCTCCGCTTCCCTATACTTTTCTTTCACTATTTCTATATTCCACCTATGAGTAAATCCATATGAATAATTTCTTTCTTTCTATCCGATTGACTTATTTCACTCAGCATAATACCCCACTTCCATCCATGTCAATGTAAATGATAGTTATTCATCTTTCTGACGCTGAGTAATATTCTATTGTATAGGGGATAGAGATCTCAAAAAAAAAAAAAAAGATAGAGATCTCCCTTATAAATGCTTCTTGCAAAAAGTTAACTTCTACTCCGTTTCAGAACTTCTCCTGTATTTGCAGTTTCTTAAAAATAATCAGCCTAAAATAATCCTTATGCTAAAGAGACATACTCTGAGCGGCAAATTCTGCCCCCCTAGGCCTAGTAACATAGTGTTCCTGGAAAGCAAGAACCAGAAGTACAGACCTATCAAAAACCATGCCAGAAAGAACACACAGTAAGGCTACAGAAGAGAAAAATTTTTTTACCGCTACCCATTTTAGGTTTGCAGCTGGGGCTCTGTAAACAAAAGGACAGATTAACTGGAGACAAACAATTTATTAACATGTGTGCACAAGTCATATGGGAGAAAACAAGAGTAACTCAAAAGTGGTGGCTTAGCATTCAAGAAATAATAGGTTTGTAGAGAAATGACAGGATAAAGAAAAGCAGTTTAGGCTCCCAAGGGTGGCAATCTGTGAAAGGAAACTAATGGAGTAAGGTTTATTTGCAGATTACTTTGGTGCCATCTATGGGCTAAGAGTCTGGAGTTGTCTTCAATAAAGGAGAATTTATACCCTGCCTTTAGGCAGAAATGGGGGAGGGCAGGGAGCTTTCCCAGACTTTCATGCTTATACACTGACTTCAGTTCAAAATAATTTTTATGTCAAAAACGTCTATGTTGAGGTGACATACTCTAGTTTCCTTCACAGCCACCTCCCATACCCACAATCTGAGGGCACTTCACAGTTATAAAAGAACAGGCCCTTGGGATCCCTGGGTGGCGCAGCGGTTTGGCGCCTGCCTTTGGCCCACGGCGCGATCCTGGAGACCCAGGATCGAATCCCACATCGGGCTCCCGGTGCATGGAGCCTGTTTCTCCCTCTGCCTGTGTCTCTGCCTCTCTCTCTCTCTGTGTGTGACTATCATAAATAAATAAAAATTAAAAAAAAAAAAAGAACAGGCCCCACATGGAGTCACTTACCCCCAGAGAGCAGACCAAGATCAACAATTTTAATTAATTAGCAATTGCAGTTTCAACCACAGAAATGGAACCTTTGAACCGTCCATCTGAAATTTCCCAGTCAGCTCTAAAAGGTAATCCGCAAAATAAGACTCCTGCCTCTTCCCTTCCCTCAAAAAGAAGAGTTGGCCGGAAACAACACTTTTCTTTTGCTAATCGTTTCCTTGCCCTACCACCCTGCCTGTAAAACCCTCCACTCTGTAAAACTCCTGGGAAGGTCTATTTATTAGTAGGCATGCTGCCCAACTCGCGAATAGTTAAATAAAGCCAATTAGATCTTCCGATTTACTCCGTTGACTTTCGTGTTTGTTTTTTTTTTAATGCCACAAACCACAGAGACATCAGAGACCCCTAAACCTGGCATCACAGGCATCATCACGCCCAGTGTTCTCGGTGGCGTCTTCTCAGTTCTGCATCCAAAGAATGGCACAGACGCGGGCAACAGCTCCAAGCAGGAAAAACCACAGCCCAGTCTGCGATCCCACACTCAGGGGCTTGGGGCACCACGCCAAGCCCCTCAGAAAACGCCACGTGAACCACGACCAGGGGGACTGGGTATCAGTCAGGGTCATCACTTCAAGCCTGAATAAAGTTCTAGACAGCCTGCAAGCTCCAATCTCTCTCACGGCGCCCCTTACCCTCTCCCCTACCCCAGTCTCCAGCGGTTGCGGCTCCACAGCTTCCCTCACCTCAGCGGACCCCAGGCTTCCCCCCTTTCGTCCCGCCCCCACCCGCGCCTGCGCACTCGGGACAGGGTAGGAGGAGGAAGGGGGCGAAGGAGGGAGGAAAGGGGCGGGGCCAAGAACCAAAAGAGGGAAGCCAGAATACACGGCTTTTGTGATTTTGGACTACGGTTCCAACAAGGGAGCAGGCTCGGATTATCCTCGGTAGCACCGACCACTCGCAGACACGCTTACAGGCCTGAGGAACCCTGGCCCTGCCGGAACTCGGCTTCTCCACGGGTCAGCCAGCCGAGGACCCTGCCCGTTTCTCCCCCACCACCCCCTTCCTGAGGAACCCAGACACTTGCTCCCGCCCCCTTTGCGCCTGCGCACTCGGGCCGCGGCAGGCCCTCAGGAAGCCCGCAGACTTGAGGGCTGGGCGGTCCTCACAGCCCGTCGCGGCCCGAGTGTGGGGGTCGCTGCTTGTGGCCGCTGCTTTTCTGAAGGGAACGAGTGCGGGAGGGCTGGATTCTGCGGTCCGGACCGGGGGCGGGTGGAGCCTGGGACCTCGCGCTACTTCGCGATTCCTCCCGGCTGAGGGCTGGCAGCTCGAGACCCGAAGCGGGTGAGTTTAAACTCGTGGGCTCTAACAGCGCGGGGCCCGGCTTGTGGGCGCCGCCTATTCGGCAACGCGAGACCCTGCGGTCCTACGCACCTTGGTCTTCTCCTTAACCACCCAGGTCCGCCCGTAGAGGGCAGTCGGAGGCGGAGCCCCAGGATAAAGGTCCCCTGCAAAACGCTGGAGCTAGATTCACGCATGGCTGGTCTCTGAGGGCCTGAGGACCCGCTAGACGCAAGAAGACGCCGTGGGCCGTCCCGCGGGGTGAGCAGTAACGGTGTCCGAACTACGGGGTCCCCAGAGCTGCGAACCCGGACCCGGGGGACTGCAGACCTCTCCCCGTTTGCCTTCGTTTCCACTTGTGCACACCTGTGATGGCTAGCGAGGGTCAGGGAGCGTGGAGGGTGGTGGGTTCTAACCGATCAAGAAAAGCCTGAGGTCCCGGTGCATGGAGCCTGCTTCTCCCTCTGCCTGTGTCTCTGCCTCTCTCTCTCGCGCTCTCTCTCTCTCTATCATAAATAAATAATAAAAAAAAAAAAGAAAAAAAGAAAAGCCTGAGGGTGTAATGAACACTCTTTGCTTCCCCAGCCCTGCCAGTCTCCAGAGAAGGCCTTTGAAGCGAAGCGAATCGCTGCTGCGCCTCGCAAAGCCAGGTTCTGTGTGAGTGTGTGTTGCTTCTTTGTTTCCGTGAAATGCATTTGATTTTCAGAACACTGGGCTTTTTGCTTTTCTTCCCTTGGAATGTGCTGCCTAAGAATGATCTATTCATTGGTTTGGGCCTTAAGATTTCCCTACCTAGTTAATGGCCGGGGACCTAATTAATAGGTAACACTCTCTAGTGTCCATTTAATGCAATTCTGCAGTTACTTAACCGTATGGTATATATTTAATTGCTTTTTGAGCAGTTTTTCTTAAGGATTCTGATGATGGAGATAACCCTATTTTGGGGGGGGGGGTCAACGTTCATGCTTTGTTTTCGACTGTGGTTTGTTAAGGAGCAGTTTAAGGGTTTGTTTAGATATCTTCAGTGATTCCAGAGTAGGGGTGGGGATTTTTTTCCAGGGGACTCTGTGATTGGTAATTTTTGGTACCAGCCAGATGTGGTTAGCGGTTTGGTAGCATGAGTTTTTTGGGTTTTTTTTTAAAATTTTTATTTATTTATGATAGTCACACACAGAGAGAGAGGCAGAGACACAGGCAGAGGGAGAAGCAGGCTCCATGCACCGGGAGTCCGACGTGGGATTCGATCCCGGGTCTCCAGGATCGCGCCCTGGGCCAAAGGCAGGCGCCAAACCGCTGTGCCACCCAGGGATCCCTTAAATTAATTTTAAATGTCAGAATTGAAATGTGGATATTTCCCCCCATTTTTGGATGTCTGTTTCACATTAATGATTTAAAATAACTAATAAAAAATAAAATAAAATAAAATAACTAATCATATATTGTTTTGTAAACTGATTTTTTTCTTTCAATGTATCTTGAATACTTTCTATTCCTTAACTGTTTTCTGGAACTAGTGTTTAGAATTTTTTTTTTTTTAAGATTTTATTTATTCAGAGAGAGAGAGAGAGAGAGAGAGAGGCAGAGACACAGGCAGAGGGAGAAGCAGGCTCCATGCAGGGAGCCTGATGCAGGACTCGATCCCAGGTCTCCAGGACCACATCCCGGGCTGCAGGCAGCGCCAAACCGCTGCGCCACCGGGGCTGCCCGGAACTAGTGTTTAATGATAACTTTAGGATTCCATTTTATGGATGTTTTATAAATCATTTAAGAAGTGTGCTGTTAGGTAGTAATGTTCAAATTATGTGAGCAATTTCTTTGACAGGCTTTCTGTGTGCTATTACTTACCCAACTTTTCACTTTATGGTCATGTAGGATTTCAGAGAGAGGAACACTTAGGAATATGACATTGACTTTTACCAGGTGGTTTACAGGTGACACTCTGAAGTGTTTGGCTGAATTTCTGAAGGATTTTTACAGTATAAAATAGACCTCTCTGCTCTTTTATGCCAAAAGTTTCATCCTCCTGATCCTTCATTTGGGTGAGAGTTTGAGAAATAAATTAATGATAATTTCCTAGAAAACTAAGATTACAAAAACCAAAGTTATTTTAATCTCAGTAAAGAGTGACTAACACTAAAAATTCAGAAGTAGTAATATCAGCATGTTAAATGTATGGAGTTTAAATATCAAAAGAAATAGCTAAGAAAGATAGGCCTCTAGATTTGGAAGCTAGGAGAAAGGATAGCAAGGATGGAATTTTGGAGGTTTTTTTTTTTTTTTTGTGGTATAATACTCCTTGTAGAGCTGTTTTAAATTTGTCCAGGTGTAAGTGATACAGACTTTTAGAGAACAAAATAAAGATCACCTGGGATATCATCAAGTAGAGGCAACACAAAATTTTATTCTACCTCCATTCACAGACTACATATACACGTATGTTTATGTGTGTGGTTTTCCTGTCAAATATACAATCACAGTACAAAACTATTTCCTTACCTACCTTCTCCTAGCAATTTCCATGACATTAAGTAAGAATTTTACCTTCCATTTTTAGTGTTTTTTTATTCTAAAAAAGTATTTTTTTCAAGTTTATTTATTTTTTTAGTAATCTCCTCACTCAACGCAGGGCTTGAACTCATGACCTGGAGATTAAGAGTCACATGCCAGCCACTGCGCCAGCCAGGCACCCCTATTTTTAGTTGGTTTTTCGTGCCTTTGTTGAAGGCCAATGATTTAACCTGCTAAAGGATATTTAGGTTCTTTCTAGCTTTTTTTCCCCCATCATAAACACTTTTCACACATTGTTTCATTCTTTCTATATCATACCATGAGTGTCCATTTCCCTATAACTTTAGTAATGAGAAGTATCATTAATTTTTCAAATCTGCCAATCCAATTCCTTTAATATGCATTTCCTTAGTTACTAGTGAGTTTTAACTAATGAGTTATTTCTACTTTCCAGAGAATTAACCATGCTTAGGTTTCACAAATTCACTTTTCCCCAGCCTGGGTACTAAGAGAGATGGGTTGATAAATGAAATTGTGCAGGTAGTATTGATGATTCTGAACAGGCAAACGATGACTGATGAGCTCTGAGTTCACCCTTCCTCCAGGTAGGGATCCCAGTGTTCAGGTATAGTTTTGTCATAATAAAGACTGCTAGCATGTTCTATGCAAGTAGTTCTCAAATTGTGACATTGTGACATTAGGACCAGCAACACCAAGTATCACTTGGGAACTTTTTAGAACTGCAAATTCTCAAGCCCAGCCCCAAACCTCTACTAAATGCCAAACTCTAGGAGTGAGGCTCTGCAAACTGTGTTTTACTAAGCCCTCCAGGTGATTCTGATGCACACAAAGCTTGATCACCAAACTTTGTTGCCTGTTGTGATTTTATAAAATCTGAAGGGAATTTAAAAATCCTTATTTCCAGGTCACACTCTGTACTGATTAAATAAAAATGTTTGGGGGATAGGAGCCAGGCATCAGTATATTTTACAGATCTGCAGGCAATTTGAGTGTCTAGCAAAGTTTGGGAAATTCTTGTCCATAGTATTTTTTATTTTCAGGTTTAGGGAGGCCAGCCACATTCCTGAGTCTTAGAAGTTCTGGGTCAGATGATGTAACAACCACCTCTCGGATGGAAAGATGGGAATGGAGGGGGATGGATCTGCTCCGGACAGACCTGGACAGCCCATGCTCGGGTCCATATCAGCCACCGTAGGGTAGGGGATTAACTGGAAACCCACCTGCTAAAGTGCCTAGACATGAGCTTCCATGCAAGTCTCTGTCTGTCCTTGTGCAATGGATTTTCCTGTGCTTTTGAGGAGGACTTATATTTTTCTAAACTACTTTCTACCCCTCATAACTTGTCTATGTGTTGGAGTGGGGAGGAGCGTAGGAAGGGAGAGTTAGTGTAACGTTTTAAAATTTGGGAGCTCCAAAAAATTAAAAATTAAAAAATTAAAAATTAAAAGTAAAATTTGGGAGCTCTGAGGCAATTTTGTTCTTATGGCTTCACCTTCCTCTTGCAGTTCTAGCTTCTATGGATTCTGCTTCTTCAGTAAATGAACTTTGAGGAAAACTGATCAGTTCTAATCTAAAATCATGGCTCATGTAAGTTGTTTCTGTTTGAAGTACTGTAATTTTTTTCAGATTATGTGAAAATTCTCAGTAGATATCCTGAAACTTCCTAACAAGAGCCCCATCCAACAGCTTCTCCCATTCTAGTATGGGATGGAACCAGGCAGCCCAGTCCCCGCCCCCCCCACCACGTGCCTGTCTCTTCTCCACCCATGTTTCTGTGCCTGTTGACCAAATTATTTAGTGTATTGACTGCGTGTTCAGTCTTTGTTTAGAGCAGTGATAAAATAGAAATAAAGGCCCTAGAGGGAATTGTTTGATCTGAGATTCTTAGTAGTAGAGAACACTAGAGTAGCAATGTACAAAAGATTATAATGTGAGCTACCTATGTAATTTAAAATTTCCTAGTAGTTGCATTTTTAAAATATAGAATTAGTGCCTTAAATGCAGTAGGCAGCATGTCAGTCTCATAAAAAGTACAGAATAATATGCAAGGCACTTAACATAATCTGGAACTTTTTTGTAGTCAGATTTTAAAAAGTAAAAAATAACACATGCAGTTAATTTTAATGTTTTATTTACCTCAGTATAGCCATATACACACACTTGCACATATATGTAGCCCAAATGTTAGCATTTCAGAGTGTGATCAACATGGAAATTACTGAGGTATCTTACATTGTTTTCTTTCTAAAGTTTTTTATATCTGGTATGTATTTTTTAATTACATCGCATCTAAGTTTGGACTAGCCACAATTTAAGTACTCAGTAATCACATGTGTCTAAGCCAACATATCGGACATTGCAGCTTCAGAGATTTTATGTAACCTAAATTCTAAATATAACTTAATATATTTAAAAATATAGAAATATCTAAATAAAATCATTTATTTATTCATGAGAGATCAGAGAGAGGCAGATGCAGAAGCAGGTGCCCTGTGGGGAGCCCAATGCAGGACTCAATCCCAGGACCCCGGGATAACGACCTGAGCCAAAGGCAGACGCTCAACCACTGAAGCACCCAGATACCCCCAAACTCCAGTTTTTAAAAATAGAGATTTTTATGGCTTATTTGGAGGAAAATAAATCCATCTTTTTTTTTTTTTTTTTCCTAATCGTTGAAGGAAAAGAGGTTAGAAAGAAGCACATTTATTGAGAAATTTTTTAGGCCCATTGCAAGCAGTGTTCTAATGAACACTATTTCAGTTAATTGTGGAAATTCTGATTAACTATGTAACTATATCTAGAAATAAGTAAAATTAGGTATGCCGTGGTACATAGGAAGTTTTTTCTTTAGTAGTAGTTGGCAAACTACAGCTTGTGAGCCATATTTGTCCCTTGGCCTGTTTTTATACAGCCTTTGAGTAATTTATGCTTTGGAAGAATTGTTTAAAAAAAGAAGGGAAAGGGGAAGGATATGAAACAGACCGTATGTGGCATGCAAAGCTTAAATATTGGCCCTTTAGAGAAATAAATAATTTTAGAAATAATACATGGGTTTGTCATTTCAGCATTTGGTGATGTTCAGAGATGTGGCTGTAGACTTTTCTCAAGAAGAATGGGAATGTCTGAACTCATATCAGAGGAATTTGTACAGAGATGTGATATTAGAGAACTATAGCAACTTGGTGTCTGTGGGTAAGCTTATCTGTGTCATATAATTTGGAAATTCACAGGACTGAATTTCACTACTGTCTTTCTAGAAACTAGCTGAATATCTGCTTTGTTGTTGAGAGTAGGCATCTTGAGCTATTAAGCAGTTAAATAGCACCTTTAACTTCTCCCATAATCCAGTGACCTTATGTCTTTCTGTGCCTTTTCTATAATTGCTCCCCTTTAATGACAGCTGGATATAAATCCTCAGACACTCACAGCAAAACCATTGTCAAAGAAATCTAGTTTCTTATTGCTAGAGATGGTCTATTATCTGTTAATTCACCTGCAATGTGAGTAGGAAGACTAGAGGTGTCCGCCTCCCCCCATGTATCTATTTAAAAAGCTTATACAATGAATGTATATGTAGCTGAGTTGAATCAACAGTTTGTTAAAAATCGGGGGGGGGGGTGGACACATTCAATTTACCACAGTAGACATACTACCTTTTAATTATTTTCCTTTTAGCAAAATAGCAAAAATACTTAATAAAAAGTACCTAATAAGTATAGAGTTTATTATGTACTAAGCACTCATTCAAGCACTTTACATTTATTAAATCAAATCTCACAACAGTTCAGTGGGTAGACATAATACCTCCTTTTCACAACTGAGAAAACTAAGGCCATAGAGACCTAGGTGGCAGAGGTGGGATTTGAAACCAGTGTTCTCAAATCATTACTTCCTCAAAAAAACTCTAAAATTCATTACTTCCTCCCAAGAGACAGACTCTGTATGAGTTTAAATTACAATAAGATAATGTTCCTACTTTTCCATTCTTGTTATGCCTTGTGATTGTGAAGTAACACTAATATGAATGTTTTTCAGTCCTGTTACTTATCTTTGTTCTGCAGGCTCCATCAAGCTCATTCTTTCTTTATTATGTACCATTATGTTTTTTCAAGCAGGATGCTCCATTTCTAAGCCAGATGTGATTACCCTACTAGAGCAAGGGAAAGAACCCTGGATGGTTGTGAGGGATGAGAGAAGAAGGAGCCTAGGTGAGTAAGTGCCAATTAGGCAGATATGTGGTTATGGCATGGCACAGCCTGCTGGTTGGGAAGGAAACACACCCCATAGATGTTGCTAATGAAGAGAAGACCTGAAACCTGGGAAGAAAACATAGATCTCAGCAGGAGCCAGCAAAGAAATTTTATCTGTACTTCCACTTACCACTTGTTTCTTCACTCTCAAATTTCCCTGTCATTTCAGTGGAGGAAAACTTTCTTCCATAATGACAGCTATTTTACTTGTATTGGATCTAATTCATTTCTGGTTCATGTTCAGTATATATATTTCTTCATTGCTCTCTTCTCATGAAGTTTACATTGTAGTAGAGAAGTCATACAATACACAAACAAATGGATTACCAAATACCATGAAGTGATTAACTTCCGAAGAAATGTAAGTAGAGTAAAAATATGGAGAGTTAGGGCAGCCCAGGTGGCTCAGCGGTTTAGCGCCACCTTCAGCCCGGGGTGTGATCCTGGAGACCTGGGATCGAGTCCCATGTTGGGCTCCCTGCATGGAGCCTGCTTCTCCCTCTACCTGTGTCTCTGTGTCTCTCATAAATAAATAAAATATTTTTTAAAAATATGGAGAATTATGGATGAATGGGGTAACTTTAGACAGGGTGATCAGAGGAACCAGTGGTAAGAGGTTTCATCTGGTCAAAGATGGAACCATTTGAATATCTATACACATAACTGCACACACACATTATAACATAAAATATGCTTAATTCCATAAATTCTTAGTGATACTAATAGCAAATTGTTCACCATTGGAAACTACTAGGGATTTAAGTTATTTGGGAAATATAAAGGGGAAGTATTCTCCTTTTTTTTTTTAAAGAACTGTACCAATATTAGATAGAGAGATGGTTTTCTTTTGTTTTGTTTTGGTTAAAGATTTTATTTATATGAGAGACATAGATAGTGACCAAGATAGCACAAGCAGGGAGAAGAGGGAAAAGCAGGCTTCCTGCCGGGTAGGAAGCCTGATGTGGGGGCTCCATCCCAGGACCCTGGGACCATGACCTGAGCCAAAGGCAGACACTCAACCGACTGAACCACCCAGATGCCCCTAGAGGTTTTCTTAATAAAAGTATTCAGTGAATAAATGAAAGATGACAGAATTAGAATATTACCATTTTGGAACCCATAATAAACAATTGGATCTGGGCATTAAACAACAGTACTGATAACATCACAGAAATAGAAACAATCAGACATCATTCTTCTAATGAGAGGATACAGTATCACCTATGAAGTGACTCTGAATAAAATTGGTCCAAAGACTGATGAGGTTTCTAAAGCCAACTACAATTTATGAGAAGAAGATGGAGGAACATGTTCTATTGCACCTTGGGAATTAGCAAAATTAAGAAATGGGCAATGCTATAGGGTCAAAAAACAGTTTCTTCAACAAATAACTTATAAGGGAAATCTAAAGAAAGCAGGAAAACCTAGAAATTAAAAGACTTGTAAAATACCCATCAACCAGTTGTACTCTATGTACTTTTTTTGGGATCAATTTGCTATTTTTAAATTATTTAAAATCTTACATTTGAGACATAAATGTAAAATGTGAACACTGATTTTTGATAATCTTAGAGAATTACTGTACATTTTTTTTAAGTTTGGATAAAAAAAATTAGTATATGGGATTTGCTTTAAATAATGTGAGAAGAGTAAATTGGGTTGTGCATAGGCCTTGATTGGGCACAAGTTGGTGATTGTTGAAGCTGGGTCATAGATGCATGGATATTCATTATCTAATTTTGTGTATTTTAGAGATACTCTGAAGTAAAGTTTTATTTTAAAGTTATTGAGAGATCAAAAGAAAATGAGAGGTGAGAGGGTGATGAAAATAAGTATATCCAAGTCTTTGGAGGAATTCTGTCATAAAATCAGACACATGAGATACAGGAAATGTCTTTTAAGATGTGATCTATTAGAATATATTTATATGTTGAAGAGGATGATTTCAAAGAGAGGAAAATTGATGGTATAGTGATATAGGATAATTTTGTAAGGAATGGCCTTCAGTAGATGGGAAGGAGTAGGAGCCAATTTATGGAGAAAACCCATGCATATGACAAGGATATGGACACAGGTTGGTTGAATACTGTGAAGGGGAGAATACATATATTTCTTTTAATTGCTTCTGATTTCTTGTTGAAATAAACAGTAAGATTATGAGCAGAATGTGAGGATTATTTAGTGTTTTCCTGGAACATGGATTATTCAGTATTTGATCTGTATTGATTCTCAGGAGTACAACTCTGTGGTCATAGGGTTTTAATATTTCCAGATTTCTTACTACATTAACTCTGGTGTTAATGTGATTAAAACTGCCTCTGTCATAAATCTATCCCATATCATCTTGTATCAACAAAAGAAAAAAGGTGGTTAAAGACATCTTGCCTTAGGAAACGAATCAATTTTATGACCAGGTAATATGCTCCTCATTGTCTTTTTAATTAAAGCTGATACTCTGCAAATGGAAATAATGTTTCTCCTTTTATATTGGTCTAATATTTTGCTTTCACACTAGCATTGTTTATCAAAGTTCTTGATTCAGTAGAATACAAACTAGTGTTTGGTTTATTAATTTTAAATGGTTAAACATTTTATAAATATTTTAAAAGTTGTGACATTAACATTTTTTTACTATAGGCTAATCTTTTGATATTTAGTTCAGCCTTTTGTTTCATTATAGGACTAGCTGATTGTTTCTTGATTAGATCACACAAATAATGCGAAGCCTGTTATTTCTAGTTTCAGTTTGTCTAAAGTAGAGCAGGAACCTAAAGTATTCAACTTTGTTTTTATAGAAATGATTGTCTTAGTTGCTTGCAGGGATAAAAACTGGCATAAACAAGTTTGGGAACAAATATGGCTGATGCTTTGTTTCCAGAAAGCATAAGATTACAGCTCAGGGTTCATGCTGTAGTCTTAGTGAGAATGTTCAACATGCAAAAGTTTTTTTTTTTTTTTTTTTTTTAAGATTTTATTTGATTATTTGAAGGAGGGAATGAGAAAGAGAGCGCAAGCAGGGGAGAGAGGGAGAGGGAGAAACAGTTTCCCCACAGAGCAGGTGGCCCTGATGTGGGACTTGATCTCAGGAACCTGAGGTCATGTTCTGAGCCAAAGGCAGATGCTTAACTGACTGAGCCACCCAGGTGCCCCGTCAACATGCCAAGGTCTTAATCTGGCATATCTTTTAAGGGATGGGGCATTATGACAGTTGCAGGTTCATTATATCCACATTAGGAATGCTTTGTTTTTTAATGAAAACCTTTAAGTTTTATAGGATGAGTTTTTTTATTTTTTAAAGATTTTATTTTTAAGTAATCTCTATACCCAATGTGGGGCTCAAACTTACAACCCTGAGGTTAAGAGTCACATGTTCCATGAACTGAGCCAGACAGGTGCTCTATAGGATGAGTTTTATAACTTGTTCTACTTTGTGGGATGTGTGTGTGTGTGTGTGTATGTATGAATATGGACGTTTTATCTTAATTTTTTGTATTTTTTGCGTTGTCTGCTCATCACCTTTATTACTGGTGATAATTTGTATGAGTGTTTATGCTATCAACACTTTCTCATTTTTCTTACAAGTGTTTCAACCTTATTTTTATTTTGACTATGACTTTCCTTTTTTGTGTTTTTTTTTAATGACTTTTTAGTTTACAAGTAAATCCTTTGAGAGCGCCGAATCCTAACCACTAGACCACCAGGGAACAAGTAAATCCTTTGAAATTACCATCTTCTATAACCTTTGTCATACCTTTATAGCTGCCTACTTATTTACTACCATTTACTATACTTTACTATAATTTAGCTAATTATAGGTCATTTGATATATCATTTCTATCTTATTTATCTTAAACCTTAAATTGACTTTTTTCCTAAAGGTCCTTACAAAGTTGCCAGTTTTTTATTGCTTTCTTGGGTTGGGAAATGGAGACAGAGAGAAAAGGGAAGAGAGAGGAAAAAAGAGAAAGTGGAAGGAAGGAGGGAAATAATGGGAGAAGGAGAAAGGAAGACACACAGATTTCATAGTGACATTTTCTATAATATACATTTATCTCTCTGCTCATATATTTTAATGTTTTTAGTATATACTTTCTATAAAATTAAAAAATTGTTTTTAGAGAGAGAGCAAATGCCTGTGAGTATGGTGGGGAGGTCCAGAGGGAGAGAATCCCTTTTTTTTTTTTTTAAGGATTTAATTTATTTATTCATAAGAGACACACAGAGAGAGGCAGAGACATAGGCAGAGGGAGAAGCAGGCTCCCTGTAGGACCCCAATGTGGGACTTGATCCCAGGATCTGGGATCATGCCCTGAGCCAAAGGCAGACACTCAACCACTGAGCCACCCATGTGTCCTGGAGAGAGAGAATCTCAAGCAAGCTCCATGTTCAGTGCAGAGCCCAATGCAGGGCTCAATCTCATGACCCTGAGCTTATGACCTAAGCTGAAATCAAGAGTTGAATGCTTAACTAACTGAACCACTCAGATACTCTAGTATATCCTTTTCTAAACAAATTTATTGGAACATAAATATATACCAAAAAACCTGAAGCCATAAGTAAACAGCTTACTGAATTTTCACAAAATAATCACATCCATCTGACTAGCACAGAAATAGAGGTTTGCTAGATTATTAGAAACTCCCTCCTAACTCTTCCTAGTCTTTCCTCCCTACCAAAATTAACCACTATCCTGACTTAACAACTCTATATTTACTTTTTTTTGAACTTTATAAAAATGGAACCACACAGTATATCTTCATTTATGTTTGCCTTTGTTTACTCACCATTATGTTTATGAGATTGATCTGTGCTGTTGCATGTACTTGTAGATTATTCATTGTCATTGCTATACAGTATTATATCATGTTAATATGTTTTAATTTTCATAGCAATTCAGATGAACATTTGGATTCTTTCCAGTTTGAACATATTCAAAATGATTTTCCTATATTATAGCCTCTTAAATTAGCATTTTATTTTTGAGAAGTAGTGAAGTCTTATTGCAAAACTTTTGAGAAAATATACATTTCTTTGCTCAGATTTTTATTAGCTTGTTACTATGGCATAAACTTGTTCTTATGCCTGAAAAATCACTAAAATACTCTCTAGGTAGAACCTAAATGGCATTCGCTTTGAGGACGTCAGGGAGAATATAGGAGAGAGTGTGAAGGAACAAAACAGGTTGAGTCTTTGTAATGTAGATGGGTATAGCTATATAAACTGAAATAGAGATAATATGTAGAACCTCTCATTACCTTGTGAAAACAGGGAGAGTTTACTCATGACTATGCAAAGTAGAAAATGAACTGTAGTGGAGATATCTAAGTGAAAGTAGACAATGGGAAAGATGATCAGATGTAAAGAAATCACCATTTTTCCCTTATATATTTGACTGAGATAGCTTAGAGGTGTTTTTGTTTCCCATCTCTATAGGAAATGATAAAAAAATACATAATCAGTGTAATAAGGTATAAGATTAGTGGCAAAAGAACATATGCAATAACTGTTAGCTAATTTTGAGAATTTAATAATTAGTAATTACTGTATGCTATGGGTTTGTTACTCAGTGATAAATGAAAGGTTGTTTCTGCCCTTGGAAAGGTTTGAGGTAAGAAAATACAATTTTTTAAATGGTAAAATTTATTAATATGTATGTAACAACAAAATTGAAAGTGTTAAGACACAAGGAACAAATTACTGGGCTAGGAAGTAAAGGATGTAAATTAGGTGAAGTCAACATGGATCTGATTTTTAACATGGCACCTAAAATATGAAAGGAACCCAACTATGTAGAGATTGCAAGTTGGCTGTTCTAGGAGATTTAATATCCAGTTAAAAGGTCAAAGAAGTGGAGAAATGATGACATATTCAAGGAACTGAAAGGAGACAAATGGGTAGGAATATAGGAAACAAAGGAGACAATGACTTGAGATGATATGGTAAACAAAGGTCATTTTATTCATGGTAAGGTGTTTGTACATTATTCTAATTAAAAGGAGTAATCCTTAAAAAATCTAAGTAAAAATTCTCAAACTTTGGTCTGCCTCCAAATACATGATTACTTTAGAGATTTTTTAGCTCATTTACTTCAACTGAGCTTTATTTTCTATTGTTTTTTTTTCTATTATAAAGCTTTTGCTTGTTTACTTTTTCAAGAATAAGAAATAGCATGTATTTATCTTGTTTTCTTTCAGATTTAGAGTCCAGATATGACACTAAAATGTTATTTCAAGAAAAGGATCTTTATGAAATGAATTTATCTCCATGGGAGATCATGAATCTCCATGGAATTAGAAGTTGTGGCCTTGAAGACTCCTTTATCAGAAGAGATTATAAGTATAAGAAGTTTGAGGGACAAGAAGGTCCTCAAGAGGGCTATTTCAGGCAAGTGAAAAAACTGCCCACTTATAGAAAACTCCCATCTCTTACTCTGTATCAGAGAATTCATAATAGAGAGAAACCCTATGAATGTGGGGACTGTGGGAAGGCCTTTAGAGTACGCCAACAACTTACTTTCCATCAGAGGATCCACACTGGTGAAAAACCCTATGAATGCAAAGAATGTGGAAAAGCCTTTAGACAGTGTGCCCACCTTAGTCGACATCAGAGAATTCATACTTCTGACAAACTCCTTGAATGTAAAAAGTGTGGAAAGATCTTTACATGTGGTGCAGATCTTCGAGTACATCAGAGAACGCATATTGGTGAGAAGCCCTATGAATGTAAGGAATGTGGGAAGGCCTTCAGAGTACGAGGACAACTTAATCTCCATCAAAGGATTCATACTGGTGAGAAACCCTATGAATGTAAAGAATGTGGGAAGACCTTTAGACAGTATGCACACCTTACACGACATCAGAGACTTAATATTGCTGAGAAGTGCTATGAATGTAAGGACTGTGGGCAGACTTTCTTGTGTAGTACAGGCCTTAGAGTACATCACAAGCTTCATACTGGTGAAAAGCCCTATGAATGTAAGGAATGTGGAAAGGCCTTCAGAGTGCGGCAACAGCTCACTCTCCATCAGAGAATTCATACTGGTGAGAAACCCTATGATTGTAAAGAATGTGGGAAGACCTTTAGTCGTGGCTATCACCTGACTCTTCATCAAAGAATTCACACTGGTGAGAAACCTTATGAATGTAAGGAATGTCAGAAGTTCTTTCGTCGTTACTCAGAACTTATTTCACATCAGGGTATTCATATTGGAGAGAAACCCTATGATTGTAAGGAATGTGGGAAGACCTTTAGACTGTTCTCACAACTTACTCAACATCAGAGTATTCATTTTGGTGAGAAACCTTATAAATGTAAGGAATGTGAGAAGACTTTTAGACTGCTGTCACAACTTACTCAGCATCAGAGTATTCATACTGGTGAGAAACCCTATGACTGTAAGGAATGTGGAAAAGCCTTTAGACTTCATTCATCACTTATTCAACATCAGAGGATTCATTCTGGTGAAAAGCCATACAAATGTAAGGAATGTAAAAAGGCTTTTAGACAACATTCCCATCTTACCTACCATCAGCGAATTCATAATGTTACTAAATAATTATGGAAAGCCTTCCACTTTGAATTTTGTGTTAAAGGACATTAGAAAATAAATTGTAGGGGAAGTTTTTAAATCAAGGAATCCCTTTTGTTTCATGCTTAAAACTAAGCTAAATAAGAGATCTTATTTGAAGGAAAGGATATATTAATTTCATGAATTTATAGAGACCTTTACTCAGCATTAAAAACCATGTTAAACTTAAGGAAATTTGTTCGAGAAAGAAACTCTTAAAGGAGTGAACATAGAAGAGCTTTTGATCTTATCTATTTTATCAATTCTATTCTTCCCATCTGTATAATATACCTATGGAGGTTGCGAGGGCACTGCCTCATTTCAAAAATTGATAATTGAAAAGAAAGTCATTTAGCCTCCATTTCTTCTTGAACTGTGTTTTAGGGCAACTAGAAGTTGATGAGCTGAAGTTTTTTATTACAGGGTTTTGCAGCCCATAATGAAATAATGGATCTAGGCACAATTCTCAGTAGAGGTTAAGATCAGTAGGTGCCCACTGATTGATTTTAATCTCATTAAAAATAGGATAAAACACTTTGTGCCGCTGTAATGAGTTACAATAAGACATACGCATCTTGCCAAAAAATATTGAACCTGAATCTCAGGATCAAGATCTAACTCCCACTCTAAAGAAAATTCGGGAAACAGAAGAACATGACACATGAAGAAGCAATTAAACTAATCTAAAATGTGGGTAATTCTGCAAGAGGAATGACCTGGCTTCTCAAACAATAAAAGGGCATTGAAAAAAGGGAGGTGGAACTCTAAGATACTGAGAGTCTGGAGAAATGTAGACCAATCAAATGCAATGCATTAGATCACAAGCTGAATAAACGTAAAAAGGACATTTTTATGACAATTGGGGAAATGGGAATATTGATGGCATTAGATAATATTAAAAATTATGTTTTTTGTTAGGTGTGATAATAGCATTGTGGTTATGTAAAAATGTTAGAGGTTAAGTTTATACACAAGATGATATGATGTCTGGAACTTTTTAAAAATGATACAAAAGAAAAGTAAGGATGGATAACTTGTTTGTCAAAGTGATAGTAAGATGAGTGTTGGGTACATGTTTTTTGTTTTTTTTTTATTTTTTTTATTTATTTATGATAGAGAGAGAGAGAGAGAGAGGCAGAGACACAGGCAGAGGGAGAAGTAGGCTCCATGCACCGGGAGCCTGACGTGGGATTCGATCCCGGGTCTCCAGGATCGCGCCCTGGGCCAAAGGCAGACGCCAAACCGCTGCGCCACCCAGGGATCCCTGTTTATTTTGTTTTTGTTATTTTCTCTACTTTTATATATTTTAGTTTTTCCATAATATTATTTTAAAGATAAAATTAGCTATGGAATTATAACCTTTGAAGTAAATGACTTTTTAAAATGATTACATATCAAAATTTGTGGATGTTGTCAAGGCTCTGCACACTGGGATAACAAATATGCTCTACCATATTTGGGAAATAAAAATCGAGTGTCTGTTTTATCTATATCCCCTCTTGCTACCTCTGTTATCATGCCTATCCCACAGTACTTCCTATGTTAGTTAAAGAATGAGTTTTAAAAGTAATTATTACAACCAAATGTGGAAATTAATGGAGTAGACCTTCATTGTCTAATAAGATAGTTGCCAGCACTATATTGAGTGCTCAAAATTGAACACTTGTTAGTTCGAGGTTAGTTTGAATTAAAAGGGTGGCAAATGTAAAATACACATGAAGTTTTGAAGATTTAGTTTTTTAAAAACAATGTAATATATTGTTTCTCACATCATTTCTCTTCTATAATATTCAGTGATTTGCATTATTACATAATACAGAAGCCAATTTAATTGTCTTTCTGCTCTAAAGTAGCATGTTTGCATACTGAGGTCTTGGTTCTACCCTGAGTCATGTTCCCTGCCACCCCGCCGCCTTCATGAAAGGTAGCCTGTGTTTACAGCTGAGTAGTTTTCTCAGGCTGTTTTTAGCCTGTACATGTTTTGGGATCCCAAGGCCCTTTCACTTCATACTGTTTCTTTCCCATTAATTTCAAGCTTGCAATGCTCCAAGCTGTACAGTTGTCTTAAAAACTTTTCAGTGAATTTTATTAGGGTTCACTCAGGCGAATTCTCTGTATTGGGCTTCCCATGAGGCTGCTATGGAAAAGTGACTTTGAAATTCTTGGATGTCCTGCTGTTTCACAGAATGGGTAAGTTAGATTCATCATTATTCTGAGGCTATATTTTCAGGACAGCACCATATATTTGATTTTTTTTTTTTCCCTCTCAGGCTCAATTATAACTTTGAAAAACCTTTTGCTATCTGGAAACACTGCCACGGAACTATTTCCTTGAGATTCTACTTGAAATATGCACCAATTGATACAATAAGTAAAATATGATTTTTCTTTTTTCTTCTGCTTATCTTCATGAATTTCCAAATATTGATCAAGCCTTACATCACTGGAACAAACTCCCATTTGTTTGTAGTGCGTACTTTGTATGTAGTACCTATTGCTGGATTTGCTGATTGCTATGGTGTGCTAATATTTTGTTGAGGATTTTTTTTAAAGGATTTTTCCAATCTATGTTCATGAGGAATACTGGCCTGTAGTTTTCTTTTATTCTACTGTCTTTGCTTCATTTTGCTAGCATGGTGATGGTGGCCTCATAAAATGGGTTTCGAAGGATTGCCTCTTCTCAATATTTGGAAGAGGTAGTGTAGAATCGTTAATTATTATTTAAACGTCTGGTAGAATTTCCAGTGAAACCATTGGGGCCTTGAAATGGACTGAATGAGTCTGTTCAAAATTCATGTGTTGACGTCCTAACCCTCAATGTGTTGACAGGTAGTGGGACCTTTTGGAGGTTATTAAGTATTGATGATGGACCCCTCCTGATTGAGATTAGTCACCTTATAAAAGGGATCCCAGAGAACTCTCTTAAACTTTTCTGCCAAGTGAGGATACAAGAAAGTGGCAGTCTTTATTCCGGGAGATGGTTCTCACCAAAACCATGCTGGCCCACTGATGTTAGACTTCAGCCTCAAAGATTGTTAAGAAATGCGTTTATAAACCACCTAGTCTATTGTACTGCATTATAGCAGCCCAAAATGAGCAAGACAGAAATTGGTACCGGAAGTAGGTGCTAATTGAAGAATAGGTAAGGGCTGTAAGAGTTTTTAGAGGCATTCAAAAAAAAGGGACATTAATGGTGATTCTGGTGATGCTCAGAAAAGAGCTGAAAACAAAACTTCAATCTTTAGAGAATACATTATTGACAGAATGTTGGTAGAAATATGGATGGTAAAGGCAGTACTGGTGAGATTTTGGATGGAAGTGAAGCACACATTATTGGAAACTGGAGGAAAGGCAGTTGTTTTTAGAAAGTGACAACTTGGCAAAATTGTATTCCATCTAGTGTTTTGTGGGAAGTAGAACTTGTGAGTAATGAAATTGGAGGTGTGGCTTGGCTCCTGGCTGATTACAGTAAAATGCAAGAAGAGAGAAATAACTGAACAATGGAATTTTTGAAACATATGGAAAATTCTTAGCTGAGTAGTTAAATGGTGTTAAATGCTATTAAAGCGAGGGCCTTGATTGGGAAAGAATGGGATGCTATACAATGGCATGGGGACAGGTGGAAGACTCTGGTGTAGCTAGGACCTGGAGCTCCTAAATTCTGAGTCTTCCCTGCCTGTGGAAGCATCCTCATCAGCAGAAGTGGCCTTTCCACCCCTAGTGGCAGTGGCTTCCCAATCAACAGTGGCATCAGCCTTTATATTTCCATCTGATAGAATTAATTGTGCATTGCCTAAAGAAAGTGTAATCACTTCCCTTGAGTTAGTGGCCATGCTAGGCAATGCTACTTCTCGGAAATCCCCACAATTCACCCCCTTTTATTTGCAGGCCTATGACTAGACTCAAGTCCCGGCAGGCTCCTCCAAGTGCAGTGTGAAGTGTGACCCATGAGGAGAGGGGTGGTACAGTCCAGAAGAACTACTTGAGTTCTCTAACTTATACAGACAAATACAGTGGAAGAAACATGATTGGAAATTTGGGCAATGAAATCTGGGGAAGAGATAAATGGATAGACTTGTCTGAATCAGGGCAGAAAAATTGAAGATACCTGTGTTGCATGTGAATGAGTGACTTCAACAAAGGAGGATTGAAATAATTAAGTAGATGGGATGGCCTCTTCTGTGGCTAACAGCTTTTCCCTCCAGCCACCCCTGTCATTGTCCAATGGGCTCTTGAACAAAGTAGTCATTGTGGCGGGGTTGGAGATTATGCATGTGATCAGCAATATGGACTTCCACTCACCAAGGCTCACGCAGCTATGGCCATTGCTTAGTGTTCCATATGCCAACAACAGAGACAAACACTGAGCCCCCCAGTATAGCACCATCCCCTGGAGTGTTCAGCTCCCTGGAAGCAGATTGATTACATAGGACCATCATGGAAGAGGCAGCATTTTGAGCTTACTAGAATAGAAACTTATTCTGGATGTGGATTTACTTTCCCTACATGCAAAGCTTCTGATAAAACTATCCATGGATTCACAGAATGCCTTATTCATGATATTCCTCACAGCATTACTTCTGATCAGGGAACTCACTTTACAGCAAAATAAGTGCAGCAGTGGGTCCATGCTGAACAAATTCACCAGTCATATGTTTCCCATCATACTGAAGCAGTTGGCTTGATAGAAGGATGGAACAACACTTTGAAGATTCAATTATAGCACCATCTGGGTGTCAAAACTGTGCTGGCTCCATAAATGTATCTCCTCTGAATCAGCATCTGATAAATGGTTGTTTCTCCAATATCCAGGATTCATGGACATGGAGGTCAAGGAGTTGTGTGAGATAATAGAAAATATGTATATTGGCTTTTGCCTCTGGTTCCTGGCACAGAGCTTTTTCTTCCTTTTTTTTTTTTTTTTTTAAATCTTATTTATTTGACAGAGAGCACTAGCAGGGGGAGGGGTAGGCAGAGGAAGAGGGAGAAGGAGGCTCCCTGCTGGGATCAAGCCTGATGTAATCAGATCTTGACCTGAGCCAAAGGCAGACACTTAACTGACTTAGCCACCCAGGCATCCAATGGCACAGAGCTTCTAAAACTATTGTAATTTCCTAAGTAATAGCATTAGGAGCATCTCTTGTTCCAATATTTGGTCTTTGACCTGGTTGCTGACACAGGGCTCTTAAAAACTTGTGATTCCCTATCACCCAGAGGCAACTCTGGGTGAGCTACTGGATGGCTTCCAGATGAGGACTGGTCCCTGAAAAGACCAAGCCATGATTAGAAGTTTGGAATTTTCAGCCCTCTTTCCCTTCTCTTGGGAAGCAGAGAGGGCTGGAAATGGGGCTAATGACCCATTGTACCTAAATGATGAAGTCTCCTCCATAAAAATCCCCAATCTATAGGGTTCAGAAGACTCCTAGGTTGCAAACATACCCCTACCAAAAGTGTGATTGCACCCCCACTCCACAGGGACAGAAATTCTTGTGCTCAGGGTACTCTAAGACTTTACCCTATGTATCTCTTCATCTGGCTGTTACTTCTATCCTTTATCATATCCTTTAATAAACTGGTACATGTGTTCCCCTGATTTCTGTGTGCTGCTCTAGCAAAATAATTGAAACTGAGCAGAGGGTTATAGGAACCTTCAATTTGTATCCAAGTCAGAAGTTGTGGGTAACTTGGACACCTACTACTTGCAATTGGCATCTGAAGGGGGGGGGGGACCACTATTGTGGGACTGAAGCTTTAGCCTGTGGTATATATATTTTTAAGATTTCATTTATTTATTCATGAGAGAGACAGAGGCAGAGATATAAGCAGAAGGATAAGCAGGCTCCAGGCAGGGACCCCAATGTGGGACTCGATCCTGGGACTCATGGATCATGCCCCAGGCTGAAGGCAGGTGCCAAACCACTGAGCCATCTAGGACACCACCTAGGCAGGTGTCCCTAGCCTGTGGTATCTGACACTATATCCAGGCAGATAATGTTAGAATTGAGTTGAATTCTCCATCCAGTTGGTGCTTGGAAAATTACTTGGGGAAATGGCCCACACATTTGGTGATCTGAAGTGTCAGAAGTAAGTATTTTGTATGAGTAGTAAAGGAAATAAAAAGAGAAGAAACACGCAGTAGGGGAAAACTGTAGGTTTTCCTTTATAGGTGGAGATGGGAATAGTACCACTCACTCTTACCCCCTAGTGATCCACTAGCAAAATTTTTGCTTTCTGTTCCCAGGCCTTAGCGCCCTGCTGGCCTAGAGGTCTTAGTTCCAGAATGAGAGGTGCTTCCATCAAGAGGCACAACAATAGTTCCAGGAACTGCAAGTTAAGACTGCCACCCAGCCACTTTGGCTTCCTCATACCTCTGAATCCACAGGCAAAGAAGAGAGTTCCAGTGTTGGCTGGGGCCATTAATCCTGACTACTGATGAGAAATCGGACTACTCCTCCACAATGGAGGTGAGGAAGAGTATGTCTGGAATACAGAAGATCTCTTAGGGCATCTGTTAATATTACCATGGTGCTGTGATTATGGTCAGTGACAAACAATGACCTGTTCCAGTCAGGACTATGAATGACCCAGACCCTTGAGGAAGGAAAGTTTATGTCACTACTAGGTATAGAACCATAATCATGTAACCAGTTACAGAAATGAGCAGTGTTAATTGTCTCACGTATTCCTTGTATTGTTATGAATGTGTGTGTGCTTAGCCTTATATTCTTTCCTTTCTTATTCCCTGATCAAGTAGCTTTACATCCTAGTATTCAAGCATTGACTTTATATCATAGTATTTATCATTAATTTTTCATCATAGTATTTAAGTTACTGGGTATCTTGGAAAAGAGTAAAGTACATAGAATCCATGTTTTACATAGAAAACATGGATTTGTTCAGGTATGTACCTGGGTCAGGAAGAAATGTTTAAAAGCCATTCAGTATAAACACACTAATTCTTTTAAAAGTATTTTTATTTTTTCTACAAATGTAAGAGAAAGTTGTAATGTACTATGACCCTCAATTCCACTTCTAAATATACATCCAAAAGAAATGAACATATTTGTCTACAAATGATATGGGCAAGGATATTAATAGAAGCTTTGTTTATATTAACCTAAAAGTGGTCCCAACAAAAATGCCCTATCAATAGAAGGATGCATCAGAAAGTGACTACCTAACAATATGAAAGAAGAAAGTACTGGTGTATATAACAACATAGGTGAATCTTGAAGGTATTATATTGAGTGAAATAAATCAGTCACAAAAGAGTATATACTATAGGATTCCATTTATGTGAAGTAAAACTAATTAGTAAGTAAAACTAATTGGTCATGATAGACGTCAGAATTATTGGTCACCTAGGGGGTATAGACTGGGAAGGCCTGATTGAACTTTGAGTGACAGAAATATTCTACATTTCAATCTGGGTGGCAGTCACTGTGGTGCACATATAGGTAAAAAATAAGCTGTATACATCAGTGTACTTTATGTACTGTTTTGTTTGTGTTTTATTGATGCCATTGCTCAGGCCTTGACCGTGTACTCCCGCAGCTGGTACAGCTGCTGTTTCTTGGTCTTCAGGTTCTCCTGATGGTCATTCGGCACATGGCATGTGTCTTCTTGAGCTGCAGATGCAGGAGCTTATACTTCTTACCCTTGTAGAATTTCCTGAAGTTTTCTATGTGAGTCTGATTGATAACTGTGAGAGCACAGGGGATGGATATGGATACAACTCAGATCTTGCAGAGCTTGGAAACCTTGTCACCTGTCACTTTGCTGCCTCACAGCTGGGACAGCTCCCACCTTCAGGTCTTCCAGCTCTTTAAGCACCTCCTCCTTAAAGGTCTTAAAGAAGTTCTTAATCTTGGCCATGTCTGCATGATCTGCTGCTGCTGCTGCTGCTGCTGCTGAAGGAAAGAGGCCAAGGCTCTTTATGCTCTTTATGGTATGTGTATTACAGCTCACTTTAAATAATCAAGGAGAAGAAGAATGAAACAGTTTGATAATAGCCTCTTAATGTCTCCTTTAAGTGTAACCTAATGTGAAGTGTCATGGGCACCTGGTCCTTCAGCAATGTCTGCTATTCAGTGTTTTTTTTTTTAAGAATTTATTTATTCATTCATGAGAGACACATAGAGAGGCAGAGACATAGAGGGAGAAGCAGGCTCCCTGTGGGGAGCCTGATGTGGGACTTGATCCCAGGACCCCGGGATTATGACCTGTGCCAAAGGCAGACCTTAACCACTGACCCACCCAGGTGCCCCTCTTCCTTCCTTCCTCCCTCCCTCCCTCCCTCCCTCCCTCCCTCCCTCCCTCCCTCCCTTCCTTCCTTCCTTCCTTCCTTCCTTCCTTCCTTCCTTCCTTCCTTCCTTCTTCCTTCCTTCCTTCTTTTTCTTTCTTTCTTTTTTTTTTTTTTTTAAAGTAATCTCTATGGCTTGATCTCAGACCTGGAGATCACAGATCTACCAACTGAGCCATCCAGGTGCCCCACAATGGTTCTTAATCTCATTGCAAGATATGATGGATTAGGGCTTTGACCAGCAAAAAGAGGGGAAAAAAAAGGACAAGTATTTATTTTGTCTAGTTACAGTGACCATGATTTCATACCCTGGATACTAAATGACAATGGTGAGCCCTGAGAGCACTGGGAGTTGTAATCTTGGCTAGGAGAAGGGCTGCATGTGGGTATCATGTAGTTTAGACACTGCCAGGTATGGTCTGTGCAGTTTTCTCACTTTAGATGCGGAAGAGCAGGCAGTTTCTCAGAGCCTTGAAGGAGCTTTTATATGGATAATATGGCTCTTCCTAAGGTCCAGAAAAGGAAATCTGAACAGCCTAGTCACAAGTGCAGCTCAGCATCCCAGAATGTAAGACTTCTGGAAATCCTGTTAAAGTGCTGACTTTTGCTTTAGTGCAGTAGAGCCTCTGCTACAGTCCATCTGTTTTACATCCTGGGGTTTGAAGGAAGTTTAGAGGTGTCTAAATTCCTGCTAAACTTCCCAGTATATATATGAGGGTGAGGGGTTGGTTTGGGGACAAAAATGGAGGAAAAAAAAAACTTGACATTTTATGAACTCCGTGGCAAATCTGGTCTTGTTTTTTTCCCCCCATAGAGATATGGCTTCCATGGATTCTAGGCTTCTCTAGTAATAAACTCCAAGAAGCACACTCTGGTTTTTACAATTCTAAAACTATGGCACAAATTGGTTTTTCAATTTTGAATTCTGGTTATGTGAAGATTTTAATTTTTTACCCTGAAACTTCTTTATATCCTAGAACTGCTCCAGTTCCTCCCATTTTTGGAGGGATGCAGTCCAGGTCCCTCCTATGTGCCCCAGTTTTCTTAAATTATTGTGTACTAGAAAAATCAGCATCTCTTCTATGCATAGTTTTTGGTCTGGAGCAGAGACAGAACAAAAATGAAGTCTCGGCAGAGAGATATTTGACTCTCTTGTCAGATCTTCAATTTGATGATAAGGAAAGGATGATCTCATGTGACTACACATGGAAAAATTGGCCTCAGTTTAAGTATGTAGTGAAATCTCAGGTTTTCATAATGGGTGTGGAAATGATTGCAACCTGCGTACAGGTGGAAAAAGGGGTCTCTCCTGGGGACTCTGAGAGGTGAGAACCTATAGCAGTGTTCATTTTGCACCTGAAGAAGATATACAAGTTTCAGGAGACATGTTTGTGACTGATTAACCTATAATAGTATTCTCTGGCTCAGGAATGAAAAAACTGGGGAGAAATGGGAAATGGAGTAGCAAGTAAGAAGATATGGTAGGATGCTTCTAAAATGGCTCCCAGGAATCACTGCCTCCAATATTCATCCCTTTTTGTAACTTCCTTTTCTTTAGTGTGGGTTAGATTTAGTGGCTTGCTTCTAATGAATAGAACAGGGCAAGAGTGATGAGATTTCACTTTTAAGACTAGGTTATAAAAGTCTGTAACTTCAGTCTTGCTCACACACTTTTTTTGTGCTGTCTTGCTCTGAGAAAGTCAACTGCCAACCTGTGAACTAAGGATAATCTCAGACCCACAGCCAATGAGGAACCAAGGCTGACATTCCAATAGCTATGAAAACTGAATTCTATCAATGAGGAGTGAGCCTTGAAGCAGATCCTTCCCCATTTGAGCCTTAAGATGACTGTGGCCTCAGCTGACACCTTGATTGCAGTCTGAGAGATCCTGAATATGAGGCCCAAGTCCAACCGCAAACAGATTTCTGACCTAAACTGATTTGTTGTTATTTGAAGCCATTAAGTTTTGGGACATTTTATTTCATAGCAATAGGTAACAGAGAAGATCATCCAGATAATCACAAGAATAACCAGAGGGCAAATGTCCTGGGGCCATTTTGGAACTCTGCTTACTACGCCATACACATCACACACCTTTGTGTACAAAGGCGATCATCAGTTTCAACTTCTTTTTTTTTTTTAAGATTTTATTTATTTATTTGACAGAGAGAGAGAGAGAGAGAGAGAGAGAGAGGCAGAGACACAGGCAGAGGGAGAAGCAGGTTCCATGCAGGGACCCTGACTTGGGATTCGATCCCAGGTCCCCAGGATCATGCCCTGGGCTGAAGGCGGCACTATCGCACTGAGCCACCCGGGCTGCTCAAGGGGAGTAATTAACTGAGGCTCAAAAGCTTTTCAATTTTTCTCGCTCTATTATTTATTTATTTTTTAAAAAGATTTTATTTATTCATGAGAGACAGAGAGAGAGAGGCAGAGACAGAAGCATGAGCCTTGCAAGGAGCCCAATGTGGGACTCTATCCCGGATCTCAAGATCATACCCTGAGCTGAAGGTAGATGCTCAACCACTGATCCACCCAGGCATCCCTACACTCTATTATTTATTGAATAATTTCTTCCACATCATTGTTTCCTGTTGCCTGCCTCTAAAAAATAAATAAATAAATAATAAATAAATAAATAGATATAGATATATGTATGTGTTATATATATATAAAGCATATTTATAAGTATGTGTGCTATATGTAGATATAGTATGTGCAGAGACAGAAAAATGACATAGAATATCATGCTATTCTAATTATTGTTGCTGTTTTAATGTCCTTTATTTTTTTAAAGATTTTATTTATTTATTTGAGAGAGGAAGCATGACAAGGAGTTGGGGGAAGGGTCGAGGGAGTGGGAGAAGCAGGTTCCCCACTGAGCAAGGAGCCCACCATGGGGATCGATTCCAGGATCATGACCTGAACTGAGGACAGACACCTAACCAACTGAGCCACCCAGGTACTTCTTTAATGTCCTTTAATAATATGTTAGTACTGTTATCTTTCTTTTTTTTTTTTAGTTTACTTTTATTTGAGAGAGAGTGAGTGTGAGAGAGAGAGTGCATGAACAGGGGGGAGGGATAGAGGGAGAAGCAGACTCCCCGCCAAGCAGGGAACTCAATGTGGGACTCGATCCCAGGACCCTGGGATCATGCCCTGAGCTGAAGGCAGATTCTTAACTAACTGAGCCACTTGGGTGCCTCTATTGTTTTCTTTCTAAGCATTTTTCCCTGTGCTTTTTATAAATAACTTTTTGTAAATATTGAGAAAATATACAGAATCACAATGAAAAAAATTATGGTAAACTTGTATTTTCCTATGTACCAAAGAAAATCTGTTAAACTGCAAGTGTTGTTATTTATCCTATTCAGACAAGAGTACTTAAAGGAGAAAATAAAAATTGAAATCTTTACAGTATTAGGTTTTTTATGCATTAAAAGTAGTTTAACTCTTGGGACACCTGGGTGGCTCAGTGGTTGGGCATCTGCCTTCGGCTCAGGTCATGACCCTGGAATCATGATCCCAAGATATGGGATCAAGTCCCACATCAGGCTCCTTGTGGGGAGCCTGCTTCTCCCTCTGCCTGTGTCTCTGCCTCTCTCTCTGTGTGTCTCTCATGAATCAATAAACAAAATCTTTAAAAAAAATAAAAGTTTACCTCTTTTTTTAAAAAAAAGATTTTATTTATTGATTCATGAGACACAGAGGCAGAGACACAAGCAGAGGGAGAAGCAGGCTCCATGCAGAGAGCCCAACGTGGGACTTAATCCCTATTCCCCAGGATCAGGCCCTGGGCTGAAGGTGACCCTAAACTGCTGAGCCACCTCAGCTGCCCAGTAGTTTACCTCTTTAATAAGCAGGCATTCTTTTGTGTTTTTGTTAAGTATTTACACTTTTAGATAAAGAGTTTACATTTTCCTTGCCTACTTCAAATCATAGGCACATTATTCATTTTGTTGACTTTGTGATTGGAAATGTTTTGTACATTATGTAATTGATCATTACTGGTATAAAAGAAGGCTACTGATTTTTGTATGAAGATTGCAACCTTGATGAAAGCTTGTAATATTTTATTTATTTTTATTTTTTAAATTATTTTTTATTGGAGTTCAATTTGCCAACATATAGCATATCACCCAGTGCTCAACCCATCAAGTGCCCCTCTCAGTGCCTGTCACCCAGTCACCCCAAACCCTGCTCACCTCCCTTTCCACTACCCCTTGTTCGTTTCCCAGAGTTAGGTGTCTCTCATGTTCTGTCTCCCTCTCTGATATTTCCCACTCATTTTCTCTCCTTTCTCCTTTATTCCCTTTCACTATTTTTTATATTCCCCAAATGAATGAGACCATATAATGTTTGTCCTCCTCCGATTGACTTATTTCATTCAGCATAATATCCTCCAGTCCCATCCACACTGAAGCAAATGGTGGGTATTTGTCGATTCTAATGGCTGAGTAATATTCCATTGTATACATAAACCACATCTTCTTTATCCATTCATCTTTC